TTTTAAAAAAAACCTCCTAGTAGGGCTTGTCTGCAAATATTGTTCACATTTTCCTTTCAAAATTATAATTTTTGCAAGACCTCTTGGAATAAAATTTTCACATCCACTCTAAATTTTTAATTTCTGCCAAAAATAATTATCTTCATGAGCCGTATTTTTAATAGTCCTATTAATTAAATGCTAAATGGTGATTATTACCCTTTAATTTACATAATTAAATTTGAAAGGCTGCAGAGAACAAAGTAATAATCATGAGATTTCATATATGTTAGAAAAAGATGTTATTTGATCCTTGTCATTGTCAGTAACTTCCAGATAAAATTGGAGCATACAGAGAAGATAAGCATAACCCTTATGCAAAGATGACACGTACAAATTGAGAGAGAGTGTTAGTAATTGAGAAAACAATTCACTTTAGAATATTAAAAAATTATGAAAAACTAACAATTTGTGAAGTTTTTTTTTTACTAATTTTATGTCTAATTATTTCAAATGAGTCAAAGTATTTATTATATATAAAATTCAATTCAATGCCAAAAACAAATTTTAAGCCATTATTTGTAGCGTTAAATATATCATTTGAAGGCATATATTTTTTGGCCGAAGACAAGTTAATTTCATTAATCAACAAAAATATAATATACACACTAATAGCTGAAGTTAAAAAGAAAAAAAAAATATCACATGAAGATATAATATAATATATATATATATATATATATATGAAATGTACAAGCTTTGAATAGCTCATATGCGGAGTTTTGGGTCTAATCATTCCGATAACTAAGTGCCAATTAAATGTGGAGGCCCAAACCTTGTCCCAAAGATTTTTTAAAAATTTTTGTAAGCATATACTAGTCCAAGAAATAAATATTGGGCCGAGTTTCTTTTATATTTTCAATACACCCAAAAATTTTGAATTTTAAAGGTTTACTTTACCCTAATTTTTTAAATTCATAGCCAACCTAGCTACATCTTCCTTAAGAATCGGCCGCAATTCTCCTAACTTTTCACTGACGGTGCTTGAGAAGCGCAGCAATTGTAAGCATCTAATCATTTCACTTCTTGATCTTCACTTATTTTGTATGGATCTTGTGATTACCTATTGATCATATTAGAAAAATGAAATATTTAAGTTTATTTAACAGATCTGCAATTCAAATGATCTATTTATTAAATTAAATTGAACAATTTCTTTTTAATGAAAAGATTAGGTTTTAATCACAACATATTTTTTAGCAAATCTAAATATGCTACAATCACATGATTGGGATATTCACGTGAGAAATTAGCAACATTAAAGATCATTTGCTAATCTCTTATTGAATCACTCGACTACCTCCAACAGTATATATTTTACCGATCTAATTTCTCCATTATTAGAAAATAGAAACACATCTATTTTTTCTTAGCAGATGTGGATTGTCCAAAGTTTATATGATAGTCTACATTTTATATTTCAATCTTATTTTTTAACAGAAAAATATATTTTTAAATTGAATATTAAAAGAATTTTTGTATCTATTTTTTTAAATTATAAAATTTTAAAATGTGAAAAATTATGTATAAATTTTTTAAATTTACAGCCACCTAGCTTCATCGTCCTTGAGTAACGGCCACAATCCCTCTAATTTAATTATGTATAAATTTTTTAAATTTACAGTCAACCTAGCTAC